TAATTCAAACAGTTTATACATGCAAAGAGATGAGCTAGAAGCTCTGATTTTTCCTTATAAAGCAGCAATACAGTTCACAAGCAGAGCTAGACATTTAAATAGTCATCCAAAGTAGAACTAGTCTGGCAAATATGTTACATCCTAACATACTCAGGAAAACAATTTGTTCTTAAAACACACTGAAATCCTTGCTCCAATGAAGTCGGTGACAAAATTCTGTTCCTACAGTAAGATGAAATCTGTTCCCCTGGCATTTTAGAAATTGTCACAAGAAACAGACACCCACAAAATAACATCATTTCACAAGGCCTAGCAACCATAATGATTACATTAAAATATTTATTTGAATTGTTTTCCAATGTCAGAAAACAGCTGATAACTCAGGGTAATATGAAAATACTACCTTCATCATAATAAAACAGCTTCATAGTCAGGCAAACGTCATTTGGTAATGGACTCAGGTTTTGCATCAGAACATAAATCTTGCGAATGAGGAGGATACTTGCTTTCTTGGTGTCTGCACAGGTGATTGTGGAATCATTCCTTTTATTCTTACTAGAAATGGACAAAGTATTCAGATTGATTTTTTTTTTCCATAGAGTAAGCTGTTTCTAGTATAAAAGATACATGACTGTTTAACAGACTCCATGAATGTCAGAAGCAGACATCACATTTATTGCCTAAAGTCTGAGGTTATGAGCACTGCAACTCCTCATATTAAGTGACCTGCATGTTCTCTGCCCCTTGGAAGATCAAATCCCGAGCCAAGTATGCCATGAAAGCATTACAGTTCAGCAGCTGTGACCAACTACTGCATTTTATATTACACAATGCTTAAAAAATACCCAACCTGAAAGAAAGAAAACAGCAGGTACTTTTGAAAGCCTCAATTCTGCAAAGTCTTGCAGAATTGGGAAGAATTTGCTTGCAAGAAGAACTTGCTTTCCCTTAAATAAACAACTAACACTATTGACTTTGACAAGAATCATTACTGATAAGAAAATGTGTGCCTTGACATCCAGCTCCGACATCTCTATGCTCCTGTTCTACCAGCAGCTGACCCAAACCCTACCTTACTGCCACCAAAAATGCTCTCCCTCTCCTCCCCTGCTCCTAACAGCTCAGAGAGGCACCAGGGGACCTGAACAGCCAGCACAAGGCAAGCACCTGGGAGTTATTTCATTGGGTAACTGTCTGTTGGAAGCACACCCTTCACTGCAATGGTTTCAAACATCTCACCCCTCTGCAGACCGTTATCTCCTTCCCTGCAGGGTATGAGAGAACTAGGCTCAAGCCTTATATTATCAATTTAGTCTGCCATGAATTTATGCTAATCCCATGTAACATCAAGTATTTTCAGATAAGTAAATCTGATATTAAACATTTCACCCTCGACATACGGAGTATCTTAAAGAGCGTGGTGCAAGAGTATTGGACTCTGTCACTAAGAATCATCTTTTGAGTGGCTATTTAAAAATATGAGCATAATCTGACACAATGATTCATTATATTTTAAGAATGACTAAGTTAATAGCATATGCTGATAAAATTAATCTTAAGAATTAAAAAAGGAAACACCAAACAGATAAAATTCAAAGTTTTTACATTCAGGCATATGGAAATAGACTGTAAAACCACAGAGCAGAATAAAGTCACAGTGACAATACCTGCTGAAATCCAGGAGTGGCCCATTGTGGGTGTACTTGAATTTGAAGTGGTAACATTCAGTAATTGTCTGCAAACAAATCCAGTAATTATTAAACTATCAGCTGCCAAACAAACTACTACTGCTTCTGTCTAGTAATCTATTAACATAAAAATGAAGATCTACATTATCTTCCAGGAATCACCATGATAAAATATTCTGAAACATCAGTTTAAGGCTTTAGAATGAAATATTCATTCAAATTTTAATCATTATGAAAATATTTCACACACATAACAGAGACATGGTGACACCCAGTGGTTAGTTAAAACATACTGTGCTTTTCATAAAGTAATTTCTCGTGTAGAGTTAGGACGATGCATCTTTATGGGCATTTAACTCTGCAATGACACTCTGGGTTTCTTGTTCTGGCCCGAGGATAATCTGACACTAGATATTCAAAGGGAATTCACTACATGCCAATTCCGATTAGCTCTAGTGATTCTCACATTTCGTATTTTAAGATGTTGGGTTTTTTTCATGTGCAATGTTAACTACTATTCATAGAATCATAGAATGGTTAGGATTGGAAGGGACCTTAAAGCTCATCCAGTCCCAACCCCCTGCCAGCAGCAGGGACACCTTCCACTAGACCAGGTTGCTCAAAGCCTCATCCAGCCTGGCCTTAAACACTTCCAGGGAGGGGGCATCCACAACTTCCTTGGGCAACCTGTTCCAGTATACTATATTATTGCTAGTATACACATTTCACTATATTCATACTATCATTAGTCATCCAGTAAAATATTCTAGCAGCTTTACCTGAGGATCTTCTGGATGGGTATAGACCTGTATTTTTGAAGTAAAGAGAGGAAACAGAGTAAGAACTGTACATATCTCCCAGCATCTACCTTAAAAGATGTGTACCTTACTTTTCAAAGATACTTACTGCCAGGACAATCATTCTTAGCTGTTGGAAACATAATCAGAGAAAGAAAAAGAACATTAAGTGCATTCCACAGCCTATTTTTGCTTACCAAGCAGTTGTGTTTCTCTAGCTCTGGAAACCAATATAGACAACTAAGGCCTGTTGGAAGAGAAATCTCTTCATACACTTAACTCCTTACCTGTTTGAGGAAGGACTTACTCAACGGGCAGCAGAAAACTCCTATGTATTCCTGACTTCAAGCATTTCAGGTCACAAAGAATATTATCCCAAAATGTCTGTGCATCCCACATTGTAGCTAACTGTTTTAACATATTAAAGAGCAGCTATTTCCTAACCAGAAAGTCCTATAACTAAGCTGAAAGCAAATGGACTTACATAAATGAGTATTTCAATATCTGAACTAGATAAATTATACTGGAAGACTTACGTATTTCTTCTGCAAGGCATCATAGCATCCTAACATCCTGCAAAAACCAAATAACATTGTCCATCTACTACTAATTTCCATTTGCTTTGCTTCTGACTAAACAGTCCCAAAAAATGAAATTATGTTTAGTTTTCTTAATACTATATTAGAACAATAAATAATACTTATTCCATTATTCTATCTCATTAGTAGTGATACAAGCAATGACTATCTTTAGCACCAAATATCCTAGCCTCTTTGTAGAATAAGTAAAAATATAATCTGTAAGTAATTTACCAGTAAAAAGATAATGCAAGTGTACATCTACCATTTTCAAACACCTTCTAAGACTTGTATTCATTAATCAGTTTATAAATATGTACTTCAGCTGAACACTGACATCTCTGAAGCACAAAGTTACGTTATTGCCTTTATTTAGATGTTGCAATTTGCTTTTTATATGACATGAAAACTACAGTCAAATAATGAAGCAACATACCCTATTTTTTTTTCCTAACATTTCTTTTGAATATAGTCAACAGCAAAAATTGGTTTTGGTGTGTACACGATGCTGAGTTAAGAAAGGCTACTCACCCGTAAACTCCAAACAGGTAGCACACACATGCTTCACACAAAAACCAGGGAGTTTTCCTTGTCGGCATCCACACCACTGCCCTCGCTAATGTTTGATGCGTGAGGGTAAGATGAAATGCACTCAGCGCCACTTCAGTTTCCTCTGCCACAGAAGGTCAGTTAAGAAATTCCAGGTTACAGTAAAGGAAGCCTTTTCCCCCTCTTTTCTCTCTTAGCAATGGCACATGGACAAAGAACAGATGACTAACTTCACCTTTAACATCAGAACTCAGACCTACATCTCTGAAGGCCACACTGACAGTGGCTGCAAACCCTCTCTGCTGAATCCATCGTGATTTCTGATGTCTTACCTTGTACTACAACTGGTAAGAGTGTGAAAAGAGCAAAGATGACCTTTACAGAGGTAACAAAAAATAGGAATGTGTATGTAAAGCAAAGGCCTTGTATACTCTTTTCCAAACAGCAAGGAGAGCAGCCATGAACAAATCTCACAGTTATTGCAAACAGAAAGAACACAAAAATAAACACCTCTAGTCCCAAGTGACATACGTACACTCAATGTGTACGTATGTGCAAGTGGATAGGCTATCACTTGCAAACACAATTCTGCCTTTGAATATAAAAGCCAACAGTACCATTTTTGTTAAGTCTGAAAGCAAGATCTTTAGATTCAAGATGCAAAATAACAACACTGTGTCTCCTGTTCAACTAGAGAGGAGCTACTGGTTAGATTTTTGCATTTAGGTGCACCCTTGAGCATTCCTATACACCCAAGGAAACTAAATGCAAATTATAATCACTCTGTATGTTTGTGCTCTACTAAGCACCGAGGTGTAAGATTTTCTAGAAACACAACTGAACAAGTCAACTATATCTCTACTGAAACACACACACTTTGACTTTCCATTTAAAAAAAAAAACAAAAAAAGTTGTCAACATAGTGAATACCATGCACTAAAAGCACTGCCTGGGCAGTTGTTCACTCACAGCAAATGAATTTTTCTTTCTATCTGCAAACCACCAGAAAGGCATCTTTCAGAACTGACATGCTATGGAAGTGTTATATATGTGCTGTAATTAACATGCTGTAATTAACATACCATTTCACCAGCTGAGTAGAGCCAGGACAGTTCTTGTCTTCCCTCAGAATTTTGACACAGACATCTCAAAAAAAAAAAAATAAATAAATTTAAAAAATGCACATTTACTAAGGAGAAAATATGACTATATTGCTAAGAAAGTGAAGTTCATTAACTGAAAGTATATACAAAAAGCAGACTAAAATTAACATTACCAACAGGTGTAGACATAGTTTTAATTGCTGAGTGCTCACCATCACAATCTAACAAAATTTGATGATGAATGTAGTAGTGAAGTTTCCACTACAGTTATTGAAAATGGCTATTACCTTTAATTAAGACAACCAAGTGGCTTTAAAAACACATTAACTTCGTAACAACCCTGTGACAATAGATTTTGCAAAGAATCATGAAAACAGCCTGTTACCATCCATGTATCTTGTTCCATAGGCACTTTCAGGAAAGATTCCTCTCAGGTATGTAATGCAGGATACAGCTACAGCCAGAAGCCTCTTCACTAGCATCAGGGATTGCTGTTCAGTAGCTATTTTGTTAGGAAATACAACTGCACTCTGAAATTTAGAGAAAGAAAGAATCATCTCTGTCCACAACAACAAACCTGTACAGTCTACAATCTGGCCCAATGCCTGCTTAATATTTTAATTTAATTGAAATGTATGACTTTCATAATTTATAAAGTTATACATATTCCTAACGCTTGGTGTTCCTATGTTTTTAGGACATCGCTGATTTCTGCCAAGCGCATGACCACAAACTTCAGATCCAAATTATTTTGCTAGTAAGCACCTTTATTCATAGTTAAAAGACTGAATTAGCCTGTAATTTTCAAGTGAAGAAATATTACAGAGCACCTGGGTGCACTATTTATTTCAGCTAAAATTCACTGTTTTTTTCCGATTCAAATAATATACTGTGCTGAAATACACAAGAAAATCATACCACACAATTCCTTTGCTTCTGAGCAGTTGCCATTTTGCAGATACTCTTCAGTCTGTTAATAAAACATCTGCATTAACACATGTATGACCACCAGCCACAAGTGCACACAAGCCCAGACTGCAGCTATTCAGTTTTAAATAGTCAATACCTGAACCTACCAACACTTCCTGAAGCTGAACCATTAATCTATCTCAGTTCAAACAAACCCAAAATTTTAAGGGAACAGAGCAGGACAATTAATATTTTTTGATTTTCACACCAGCACAGAGCTCTCCTGAGGTTGCAGTATGTGGTAATTAAAATACCATATGCCTATTTATATGAAACATGAGGCTTTGAAAGCAATGCTCTGAAGTGCTATCTGGCACCCAGCCTTTCCAAAGGACCCTAAAGCTCTCCACATTTTAAGTCACCTCCACCCAAAGATGAGCTATCACCCTTGGAAGCAGGCTTGGGTTGTTTCTCTCTGTAATTTAAATGAGTACTGGAGAAAGAGAACTTTCTCAGCTATTGTTTTTGTTGAACCATGTTTTCATTAAGCCCTTAGCCCTCATCACCGTGAGCCTGACTCCACAGGACAAGCCTTCCCACCATCTGCAGCACTGAGACCCACCTAGGCCTGAGGACATAGAAGATGTCCTCCCTGAGTAGGGGATAAGCCCTGGACCATGAGCCCCCCCTCCCGCCCCCAGCTGAACCTCCACAGCCCCCAGTACCTCTGTCAGAAATACAGAGAGGGAGGAGCCCCTCCCCGGCACTGCCACCCCTAGAAAAGACAACTGCCTGCTCACGGAGAAAGGCGGCCAACAGACTGAGGCGGAAGGCCAGAAAAGCTCTGGGCGGGGAGGGGGGAGAACCCCGCCGCACACAACCCGCA